CGTTGTACTTCGTGAACCAAGGGTGGAAGAGCTCGATTTTCCCTTTACCTTTCTTCTTGTCGAGGTCTAGGGTTAGAGTTTGCGTCGACCACAACCGACTTCTGGAGCCTTGTCTCGACAGCCTTCATCCTTGTGGCTTACTCGGCAAGCCTTGTTGTTTGCTCTTATTGAGCACGAGCAATGTTCTCCAATTGATTTTTTTATCGCTTCTAGTGCTGCTTCCATGTTTGCGATGCAAGAAAACTCCAAGAACACGGGAAACTTTAAGAACTCACACAACCTGCTTCTTGCCTCGCAAGAAACACCAAGAACTCCCAAGAACAAACAACCTCCTGTCTTGCGGCTCAAGAACACGCCAAGACCTTCAAGAACACGAACAAAATATCCAATAATGCACAAGAACACAAACAATCTTCATAAACACGCCACTGTTTTGAACCTTAGCTGTGATACCACTTGATATAATCAAAGTAGTGCAAGGGTCAAGCTGCTCGAACCAAACAAAACCAAATAGGGTGGAATTGATCGGACAATACTCACTCGTGAATAAGCGCAATCGATATGAGACCGATCCGACAGATTCAACCGGAATAGAGGGCAATCAATAGAGGGTAGCTCGCCACAACCAGGGTGAATACCTAGCTAATAAGAGTTTGTTCTAGCCTTTGGAGGTACTCAACAAAGAAGTAGAACATATTTCCTTAGAGGAAACACGACAATAGCCGTTAGGATTTTTATCAATGATGTCTAACCCTCAAACAGATGGTTCGCCCTCTTTAAATAGGCCTTATAGCTCCAAATCCGACTCCCAAGAGGAAAACACCTATAATCCGACTCTAAGAAGTAAACACAATGCAAAATTCGGTTTTAAGGTCCCAAACCCGTTAAGAACCCGTTAAACCCAAAACATACCCAAAACCCATTAAGAACTCGTTAAGAATGAACCTGTTAAGCTTGGTTCTTGTGATCAATCTTCTCTCCAACTCATCTCCTTCTTCGAGCACTTGAATCATCATGAATGAGTGACTCGCTCCTACCGTCACTCTAGAAAATGGCCAAGTGTAACCACCTCCTAAAGCGTAGTATAGCGGGTTTGGGTTTTAATGTCAACCCGGGTCCTAGATGTGATGACTACTCCGTGAGTTCTTATTATTTAGAAGTGAAACTTTAGTGAAGGTTGAAACAAGCAAGCAATTAAACGGGTTGTTTTCAAGTCGAAAGAGGTCACCCGGATATGGTTCCCCCTAGACTGCAGTTAAGCCATATTGTAATTTACCAAGTTCAGTTTCAATGATAGTTATACTGCGGGAGGTTCTTAAACAGTTTGAAGTCTCGACTAAAGGTCTCCAGACCCTCTCAATCTGAGTCTCCAGCGGGCGACTAACCTCCACCGGTGTACACAGATTGAGGCCCTAACGAACCAAACCTCCACTATCGAAGTAAATTCGGTGCAGAATAGTGAATTGACTCCTCGACTAAAGTCGCCAATTCACTACCTTCAATCAAGGGTGCTCTATCAACCTAGGCAGCTATTCTCCTTCTAGGTCAAAGCAGAAACAACAGGAATTTGATAAGGATTCAAGCCATTCAACAAATCAAACCTCAATTGAATATAATCATATCACAGAATCTGTACTTGGGTTCATACAATCAGACCTAACATACAAATCTAGGGTTCTTCATACCCAGGTGAATAAGAAAGCTACTCCATAGAGAGAGATGTGAATTCTAGCTCAGATGCGGAAACCATACTGTGAATGATGATAATCTGCTTCTGGCACTCAATCAGGTCTTCTCCAAGCTCAAGCCGGGCTCCAATGGTGATTGAGATCGATCTATGACACTTGCCACGACCCACACGGCCACGACCCACACGGCCATGACCCACACGGCCGTGTGGAATTCCAGGATGCCCGTGTGAGTTCCCTGGAATTTCCACACGACCACAGGGGGTCCCCTACACGGCCCGTGTGCCTTTGCCCGTGCAATTTGGTGCCACACGGCCGTGTAGGTTTTAGGCGTGCCCGTGTGAGTCCATCAGCTTCACGCCACATGTCCAATCTTCGTCCAATCGACCCCGAACTCGTCCCCAAACCTTCATTCACGTACTAGGACCTGAAATATCACAAACAAGAACAACCTAGTGTGAAATCGGCCTAAAACACGAGAATCGAAATCTCAAACGGCTCAAGAATAGGGGTAAAAACATGTGCAATTAACGGTCTATCAATGACCTTCCTCGCAGCAGCTCCACGTCCATGGCTCCAAAATTACTCTCCAAGTATGCAGCAAGCTTCTCTTTCAATCTTCTAGCTTTGGCACGTGTGACTGGCCCATTGATGTCTTCATCAGATTCTTCTAAAAAGGAGGTAAGAACTAAAACTTACTTTGAGTCATTAATATATGATAAATGAGAATCTATTCCATTGAGTTTTATGCATGGTATTGAGAAATTGTATAAATGCGAGAAAGTAAAACAAAATGTATGCATTTTATTGCACATCGAGATGTATTACCTCGATGATTAGGGTATGAACTTGAATACATATTGTGGAATAGAATAATTTTGTTTACATGGGTGCCAATGAATAATATATGAGAATAGAATGAGTTTACTGCCCATAGTGACGATATTGTAAGAAGTACTACACGAACCACTTAGGTTGCTCTGAAACATTAAAGTTTCAACAATGAGAGCAGCAAGCCGAAGTAGATCCACACCAAATAGAATGGTACCCTTCGTGGTAGCCAGAAGATCACTAGTCAATCCTCTAAGAATGACAATATGTTGTGCAAAACTAGGTCATATGGCACGAAAGTGTATGAACAAGTCTAACATTGGTTCAAGTTTTAGCTTGATGGAAGAAGAGGATGGTTTGTGGTGATCACTTAAATAAGAGCAGAGGTTAACCTTGTTGGTAAACTGATGCTCTAAAACACAACACCTAACAATGGCCAAGTGTAACCAATGAAAGGGACTGCAGTATAGTGGCACAAGTAATAAATATCGAATCCACGGGTCTCTAGAGTTACTATTACTCAGCTTCAGTTCATTATCTAGCAAACTAGATTAAGGATTGATTAACTAAACTACTCTATTAACTAAACTAAGTAAAACTACTAATTACAATTTGGAAACTCACTTAGGTATGATTCCCCCTAGCTCCTCAATTAGGTCCAAGTTGTAATTCCTTTTGGTTGATTTACTGTTGATTAAACTGCGGAAGATCCGACAGTAGCTTGGAATCTCTTAAGCTGACCAAGCCCTCTCAGTCTAACTATCCGGCAGACGACTAGTCTTCACCGGGATAGAAAGCTGAAGCAGTAAGAACAGAACTCCACTACTGGAATTAGATTCCAGTGCAAAGCAGTAAACTGGCTAACTCTCGTATAGCCAATCTCCTACTACCGAATGATGAGACTCTAGCAACCTAATCAGATTCTATCTATCTCAGATTGCAGCAAGAATCAGGAAAAGTTTATTAGACTTCAATTGACTCAATAAACATGCATCATTCGATTATAATCAAACAATATAGCATCCAAAACTTCATACAAGAAAGATCCTAACACATGGAACTAAGGTTCCTCAAAACCTAAGTGAAGGGAAGTTACTCCATAGAGAAGAGAGAGACTGCAGAAATCTGATCTAGATCTTCAATCTCCATCTCCAAGCTTGATTCCCGAGCTCCAATGGCGAAGAAATCCTCCAAAATAGCTCCAAGAATGTTCCCAAGTCGCTCTCTCTCTCTAGGGTTCGTCCCTTGGGTGTTTGGGATCCAAAACCCAGCTCTCTCCCTTTCCTTTTGCTGAAAATCGGGTTTTAAACAGCAATTCCAGACTCACACGCCAGGCCACACGGCCGTCTGGCTTTCCCAGCTGCCCGTGTGAAGGCTCGGTGATTTCCACACGGCCACATGGCCAGGTCACACGGCCATGTGGGTTGTGCCCGTGTGGCTTGCTCAGCCTCTGTTTAATGCTTCGTTTCTCCCTCGTCCGGACTCCGAATCAGTCGCCGTTTGATCCCAGATGCTCGTAGTCTCGTCCTCTTTCTTTTCATGACAAGCTTGCATGATTCTTTGTCCATAAAGTGAGGTATAAATCCATTCTTCTTCAGGTCATACCCGAGTTTCTTCTCCCGAATCGTCAATTGATCTCTGATTGACTTGAAACTTGCGCCTATGCTTAACTTTATGTGCTAGGACCTGAAATGTGACAAAGGAACACAACCTAGCGTAAAATAGGCCAAAGACACGATAATTCAAGCTCAAACAATCAAGAAACAAAGGGGAAAACATGTGCAAATACCGAGTCATCAAATCCCCCCACACTTAACTGTTTGCTTGTCCCCAAGCAAACCTAACTCAAGCTAATGCAGCTCTCCAGATCTCTATCGCAACATACAACCCCGATCGTCGGTAGAGGATTTCCTAGATCATATAGCAGCTTACGAGGTCAACTGGTCTTCTAAGACGTTCCCTATCTCTCTCAATGCGAGTACTAGACTCAAGCCAGGATCATGAGAAAAAGTAGAAGTAAGACAGTCAGTTCATGGATAAAGGGACTCACACCATTCACAACCAAGGATTCGTTGTACCGGGGTGCTCTTTCACTTCATTTCACCGTTGGAACCCCTTTTTCTCACTTTCATTTACATTTTTTCTTTCATTTGGTGGGGTTCCAACTGCAGTCTTTTGCACGGTCGACCCTTATTAGTCGAGCAAGAGCAATTTCTGTACATCTGGAGCTCGCCAGAGTACTTCTTTTAACTCCTTTTCCTCAACTCGTGTGGAGGGTCAATGAAATTAAGGGGGGTCGGAAGCTCTATCCGTGCCCTTAAAAACACATCCTCAAGTAGGCAAACCGTTCAACGGGTGGAAGTTTTACTTGTACTAGAGACAACTTAGCTTCACCTTGTAGGAGTACCCCACTAAGGATCACTAAAATCTCTTCCAAAACCCGATTTTGTGCAATGAACGGTGCCGCACACGTTGGGCTTACCCCATGTTTAAGATTTAATGATTTTGACATGGAGGACCAACTGCTTCCCATTTTCCATATGAGCACCCTGTTTGATACACGAGTCCATAACATAATCCAAACAGAGTCACCATTACCACATGAATTCAACGGTCTTAGCTCCACTAATTCACAAAATCAACTAGCACAACAGAGAGCTAGATAGGAAAAATCTTATACTTCAACATCCTCCATAGTGCTACACTACCTTCCTAGGTTGCACATTACTATAGAGACTGTCAATTCAAAGCATACTGAGCAGGCAATTTGCAAGGAAACACATACTTGGAGCCCTCAAATTTAAAAATTTGGACAGTGAACTAGGCTCCAAGCACACAAACAGCCAAACATTCACCCGCATACATAATCGAACACCCCCCCACACTTAAGCACGACATTGTCCTCAATGGAGGAAATATAAGGAGGGTAGAACGAAGTTACCAGATCAAGGGTGAATGATGATGTACGGGTCAGGCAGTGCATTCCAGGTAGAGAGAGTAATCGGAACACAAACACCACACAAAATCTCACAAAGGTTGAGTTATTGACTCTAAAATCAAATAACAAAACTGACTCAACCGAGGAGAAATAGAGAAAGAAATGCAAACCGACTGGTTGGGTTGCCTCCCAACAAGCGCTTCTTTCACGTCGTGAGCCGGACGATGGCTCCTAAGTTTCGGTCCATGCTAGAACCTCCTTGAAGTTGAGGTTCTCGTCGATGAGGTGGAGTCTCAAGTCACGAGCATGTGGTGTGGCAGGTGATGAAGGCTCATGTACTTGATGCAGATGAGGTCTCCACCCTCGAGACCTCTTCTTCTCTTCTCTCGCCTCATTGCCCCAAACCAGATATGACAACATCGATTGGCCACCATCGCGTCCACCAAGAGGGACCGATGTTGATGTGGCCTTGGTCTGGCAAAAAGACACTGCAAATGGGTCCTTTCCAAGCAGCTCCTCGAAGTTTGGTGGAGATATCAAATGTAACATAGGGCCGGTGCAAGCCTCTTCCACCTCAACTTCATCCTCAGCTTGGACGCCAATTGCTTCCTCAACCCCCCTTTCTTCTTCAAAATGTGGTCTCTCCCCTGGGAAAAGATCAAGAACCACCTCTTCTTTTCTTTCTTCCTCATCATCCACAACTTCCTTCCTCATCCTTGCTCGCTCTTCTTCTTCTAGAACAGATTGGAGAGCAAGTCGCCAAGCAATTTCTTCAATGGGATCATCTTGCATCTCCTCGCACGGGCCCAACATGTTAGAGCATAAATGAGGAAAGGTGTGGTCTGCAACCAAAGGACTTTCCTGATCATGGTTATCATGGGAGTTCTCTGTGATAACTTCTATATGCTCCTCAACGCTCCCATAGCCTTTGTCATCCTCCACCTCTTCTAGCGTGGTAGCAGAAAGGTGATCTTGAGCAAGATGTGAGCAAACTTGCTTCACCCACTCTGTTTGCTTCGCTGAGCGCTGAACAGTCTCCTCCATATCATGGAGAAATGAGGGATCGGAAGCAGCAAGGGCTTTGATTTGAAGATCCATCTTGGAGCAGGCTCTCTCCGTGTCTCGAGCAAACTGCTCCACGAGAAGCCTTAATTGTTTGTTCGGATCTTCCAGTGAAGTGTAGCATGGCTCTGCAGAGTGGCCAGTGAAGGCCACCATGGGTAACTCATCTGATGGCCCTTCTTGTTGTGGGAGGAATTCTTCTTGATAAGGAGATTGTTCTTGATATGCCCAGGGGTCTGGTTGTTCTCCGTAGAAAGGGAGTTGGTACTGGAACCCAAATCCATAGTCTTCTCCTCCTTGATTGCTCCAGGGAGTCTCGGGGTAATACCACTCGGATGGTGGTGGATACCCCCAATGGTTGGAGAAGCCATGAGGATCCATGATTCAGATCTGCACCAACAAAAACAAAAACACCCAAGTGAAAAGCAAGGGTGGAAAAGAAAAGAAAAGAAAAACGCTAAAGTAACAAACTTCTGCCTTTCCTAATAATCTAGAAAGTTCCCCGGCAACGGCGCCAAAAACTTGATGCTCTAAAACACAACACCTAACAATGGCCAATTGTAACCAATGAAAGGGACTGCAGTATAGTGGCACAAGTAATAAATATCGAAATCCACGGGTCTCTAGAGTTACTATTACTCAGCTTCAGTTCATTATCTAGCAAACTAGATTAAGGATTGATTAACTAAACTACTCTATTAACTAAACTAAGTAAAACTACTAATTACAATTTGGAAACTCACTTAGGTATGATTCCCCCTAGCTCCTCAATTAGGTCCAAGTTGTAATTCCTTTTGGTTGATTTACTGTTGATTAAACTGCGGAAGATCCGACAGTAGCTTGGAATCTCTTAAGCTGACCAAGCCCTCTCAGTCTAACTATCCGGCAGACGACTAGTCTTCACCGGGATAGAAAGCTGAAGCAGTAAGAACAGAACTCCACTACTGGAATTAGATTCCAGTGCAAAGCAGTAAACTGGCTAACTCTCGTATAGCCAATCTCCTACTACCGAATGATGAGACTCTAGCTGCATACTCTTTATTATACTACTATAAGCAAGTTGGGATGGATGGATGGACGGGACGAGTATTTTAATGTTCAATTATTCATACATGTCACGTACTAAACACAAATCAGATTCTATCTATCTCAGATTGCAGCAGGAATCAGGAAAAGTTGATTAGACTTCAATTGACTCAATAAACATGCATCATTCGATTATAATCAAACAATATAGCATCCAAAACTTCATACAAGAAAGATCCTAACACATGGAACTAAGGTTCCTCAAAACCTAAGTGAAGGGAAGTTACTCCATAGAGAAGAGAGAGACTGCAGAAATCTGATCTAGATCTTCAATCTCCATCTCCAAGCTTGATTCCCGAGCTCCAATGGCGAAGAAATCCTCCAAAATAGCTCCAAGAATGTTCCCAAGTCGCTCTCTCTCTCTAGGGTTCGTCCCTTGGGTGTTTGGGATCCAAAACCCAGCTCTCTCCCTTTCATTTTGCTGAAAATCGGGTTTTAAACAGCAATTCCAGACTCACACGGCAGTGTGGCTTTCCCAGCTGCCCGTGTGAAGGCTCGGTGATTTCCACACGGCCAGGTCACACGGCCGTGTGGGTTGTGCCCGTGTGGCTTGCTCAGCCTCTGTTTAATGCTTCGTTTCTCCCTCGTCCGGACTCCGAATCAGTCGCCGTTTGATCCCAGATGCTCGTAGTCTCGTCCTCTTTCTTATCATGACAAGCTTGCATGATTATTTGTCCATAAAGTGAGGTAGAAATCCATTCTTCTTCAGGTCATACCCGAGTTTCTTCTCCCGAATCGTCAATTGATCTCTGATTGACTTGAAACTTGCGCCTATGCTTAACTTTATGTGCTAGGACCTGAAATGTGACAAAGGAACACAACCTAGCGTAAAATAGGCCAAAGACACGATAATTCAAGCTCAAACAATCAAGAAACAAAGGGGAAAATATGTGCAAATACCGAGTCATCAAATCCCCCCACACTTAACTGTTTGCTTGTCCCCAAGCAAACCTAACTCAAACTAATGCAGCTCTCCAGAGCTCTATAGCAACATACAACCCCGATCGTCGGTAGAGGATTTCCTAGATCATATAGCAGCTTACGAGGTCAACTGGTCTTCTAAGACGTTCCCTATCTCTCTCAATGCGAGTACTAGACTCAAGCCAGGATCATGAGAAAAAGTAGAAGTAAGACAGTCAGTTCATGGATAAAGGGACTCACACCATTCACAACCAAGGATTCGTTGTACCGGGGTGCTCTTTCACTTCATTTCACCGTTGGAACCCCTTTTTCTCACTTTCATTTACATTTTTTCTTTCATTTGGTGGGGTTCCAACTGCAGTCTTTTGCACGGTCGACCCTTATTAGTCGAGCAAGAGCAATTTCTGTACATCTGGAGCTCGCCAGAGTACTTCTTTTAACTCCTTTTCCTCAACTCGTGTGGAGGGTCAATGAAATTAAGGGGGGTCGGAAGCTCTATCCGTGCCCTTAAAAACACATCCTCAAGTAGGCAAACCGTTCACGGGTGGAAGTTTTACTTGTACTAGAGACAACTTAGCTTCACCTTGTAGGAGTACCCCACTAAGGATCACTAAAATCTCTTCCAAAACCCGATTTTGTGCAATGAACGGTGCCGCACACGTTGGGCTTACCCCATGTTTAAGATTTAATGATTTTGACATGGAGGACCAACTGCTTCCCATTTTCCATATGAGCACCCTGTTTGATACACGAGTCCATAACATAATCCAAACAGAGTCACCATTACCACATGAATTCAACGGTCTTAGCTTCACTAATTCACAAAATCAACTGGCACAATAGAGAGCTAGATAGGAAAAATCTTATACTTCAACATCCTCCATAGTGCTACACTACCTCCCTAGGTTGCACATTACTATAGAGACTGTCAATTCAAAGCATACTGAGCAGGCAATTTGCAAGGAAACACATACTTGGAGCCCTCAAATTTAAAAATTTGGACAGTGAACTAGGCTCCAAGCACACAAACAGCAAAATATTCACCCGCATACATAATCGAACACCCCCCCACACTTAAGCACGACATTGTCCTCGATGGAGGAAATATAAGGAGGGTAGAACGAAGTTACCAGATCAAGGGTGAATGATGATGTACGGGTCAGGCAGTGCATTCCAGGTAGAGAGAGTAATCGGAACACAAACACCACATAAAATCTCACAAAGGTTGAGTTATTGACTCTAAAATCAAATAACAAAACTGACTCAACCGAGGAGAAATAGAGAAAGAAATGCAAACCGACTGGTTGGGTTGCCTCCCAACAAGCGCTTCTTTCACGTCGTGAGCCGGACGATGGCTTCTAAGTTTCGGTCCATGCTAGAACCTCCTTGAAGTTGAGGTTCTCGTCGATGAGGTGGAGTCTCAAGTCACGAGCATGTGGTGTGGCAGGTGATGAAGGCTCATGTACTTGATGCAGATGAGGTCTCCACCCTCGAGACCTCTTCTTCTCTTCTCTCGCCTCATTGCCCCAAACCAGATATGACAACATCGATTGGCCACCATCGCGTCCACCAAGAGGGACCGATGTTGATGTGGCCTTGGTCTGGCAAAAAGACACTGCAAATGGGTCCTTTCCAAGCAGCTCCTCGAAGTTTGGTGGAGATATCAAATGTAACATAGGGCCGGTGCAAGCCTCTTCCACCTCAACTTCATCCTCAGCTTGGACGCCAATTGCTTCCTCAACCCCCCTTTCTTCTTCAAAATGTGGTCTCTCCCCTGGGAAAAGATCAAGAACCACCTCTTCTTTTCTTTCTTCCTCATCATCCACAACTTCCTTCCTCATCCTTGCTCGCTCTTCTTCTTCTAGAACAGATTGGAGAGCAAGTCGCCAAGCAATTTCTTCAATGGGATCATCTTGCATCTCCTCGCACGGGCCCAGCATGTTAGAGCATAAATGAGGAAAGGTGTGGTCTGCAACCAAAGGACTTTCCTGATCATGGTTATCATGGGAGTTCTCTGTGATAACTTCTATATGCTCCTCAACGCTCCCATAGCCTTTGTCATCCTCCACCTCTTCTAGCGTGGTAGCAGAAAGGTGATCTTGAGCAAGATGTGAGCAAACTTGCTTCACCCACTCTGTTTGCTTCGCTGAGCGCTGAACAGTCTCCTCCATATCATGGAGAAATGAGGGATCGGAAGCAGCAAGGGCTTTGATTTGAAGATCCATCTTGGAGCAGGCTCTCTCCGTGTCTCGAGCAAACTGCTCCACGAGAAGCCTTAATTGTTTGTTCGGATCTTCCAGTGAAGTGTAGCATGGCTCTGCAGAGTGGCCAGTGAAGGCCACCATGGGTAACTCAAGATCTGATGGCCCTTCTTGTTGTGGGAGGAATTCTTCTTGATAAGGAGATTGTTCTTGATATGCCCAGGGGTCTGGTTGTTCTCCGTAGAAAGGGAGTTGGTACTGGAACCCAAATCCATAGTCTTCTCCTCCTTGATTGCTCCAGGGAGTCTCGGGGTAATACCACTCGGATGGTGGTGGATACCCCCAATGGTTGGAGAAGCCATGAGGATCCATGATTCAGATCTGCACCAACAAAAACAAAAACACCCAAGTGAAAAGCAAGGGTGGAAAAGAAAAGAAAAGAAAAACGCTAAAGTAACAAACTTCTGCCTTTCCTAATAATCTAGAAAGTTCCCCGGCAACGGCGCCAAAAACTTGATGCTCTAAAACACAACACCTAACAATGGCCAATTGTAACCAATGAAAGGGACTGCAGTATAGTGGCACAAGTAATAAATATCGAATCCACGGGTCTCTAGAGTTACTATTACTCAGCTTCAGTTCATTATCTAGCAAACTAGATTAAGGATTGATTAACTAAACTACTCTATTAACTAAACTAAGTAAAACTACTAATTACAATTTGGAAACTCACTTAGGTATGATTCCCCCTAGCTCCTCAATTAGGTCCAAGTTGTAATTCCTTTTGGTTGATTTACTGTTGATTAAACTGCGGAAGATCCGACAGTAGCTTGGATTCTCTTAAGCTGACCAACCCTCTCAGTCTAACTATCCGGCAGACGACTAGTCTTCACCGAAATAGAAAGCTGAAGCAGTAAGAACAGAACTCCACTACTGGAATTAGATTCCAGTGCAAAGCAGTAAACTGGCTAACTCTCGTATAGCCAATCTCCTACTACCGAATGATGAGACTCTAGCAACCTAATCAGATTCTATCTATCTCAGATTGCAGCAGGAATCAGGAAAAGTTGATTAGACTTCAATTGACTCAATAAACATGCATCATTCGATTATAATCAAACAATATAGCATCCAAAACTTCATACAAGAATGATCCTAACACATGGAACTAAGGTTCCTCAAAACCTAAGTGAAGGGAAGTTACTCCATAGAGAAGAGAGAGACTGCAGAAATCTGATCTAGATCTTCAATCTCCATCTCCAAGCTTGATTCCCGAGCTCCAATGGCGAAGAAATCCTCCAAAATAGCTCCAAGAATGTTCCCAAGTCGCTCTCTCTCTCTAGGGTTCGTCCCTTGGGTGTTTGGGATCCAAAACCCAGCTCTCTCCCTTTCCTTTTGCTGAAAATCGGGTTTTAAACAGCAATTCCAGACTCACACGGCCAGGCCACACGGCCGTGTGGCTTTCCCAGCTGCCCGTGTGAAGGCTCGGTGATTTCCACACGGCCACATGGCCAGGTCACACGGCCGTGTGGGTTGTGCCCGTGTGGCTTGCTCAGCCTCTGTTTAATGCTTCATTTCTCCCTCGTCCGGACTCCGAATCAGTCGCCGTTTGATCCCAGATGCTCGTAGTCTCGTCCTATTTCTTTTCATGACAAGCTTGCATGATTCTTTGTCCATAAAGTGAGGTAGAAATCCATTCTTCTTCAGGTCATACCCGAGTTTCTTCTCCCGAATCGTCAATTGATCTCTGATTGACTTGAAACTTGCGCCTATGCTTAACTTTATGTGCTAGGACCTGAAATGTGACAAAGGAACACAACCTAGCGTAAAATAGGCCAAAGACACGATAATTCAAGCTCAAACAATCAAGAAACAAAGGGGAAAACATGTGCAAATACCGAGTCATCATAAACCCTGAAGAATGGTGGCTAGATATCGGCACCTCAAAGTATGTGTTATAAACGAGCTATGCTCAAACCACACATTGAGGTGTATTAAAGAAGAAAGTGGTGTTGGGCACTGCCTTCACCATTATTGTTGATGGTTCTGGCAAAGTGGTAATGAATCTTACATCTGGAAATTCGTCTTGCATGCTCCATAATGAAGGAATCCTTTGATGAGTGGCTTGGCATATCGTAATAAAGACAGTTGGCACGCTAAAACACAACACCAAACTGCGACCAAGTGTAATCGCAATCCGGAAATGCAGTAACAGGCAAGCTCTATTTGTCAACCTGGGGTCTAGATCTACTGCCTACTTTTTGAATATTTATTATCTAGCAAACTAAGTCGAGTGATTGTGATTTTAACTAAAAGCAGTAAGAAAGCAAGAAATGGTTCAAAGTTCTTTAGCAAGGGAAGAGTCCCTCGGGAATGAGTCCCCCTAGCTCCTTAGTTAGGTCGAGGTTATAATTACCCTGGGTTGATTAACTGTTGATTAAACTGCGGAAGATCCGACAGTAGCTTGGAATCTCTTAAGCTGACCAAGCCCTCTCAGTCCAACTACCCGGCAGACGACTAGTCTTCAACGGGATAGAAAACTGAGGCTATGAACGCAGAACTCCACTACTGGAATTGAATTCCAGTACAAAGCAGTAAATCGATTAACTCTCGTATAATCAATCTACCACTACCGATTAATGAAGCTCT